AGACTAAAACCATCATCATCTCGCTCACGACGAACACGTGTTTTAATCAGAGGTCGTTGTAAGATTCGAAATCGTGGCTCAATGCAACAAGCTCAGCGCTCTGGGATATTAGCCACCGGTCATCCAAACATGCTTCTCCACTTTATACATGTAATACATTTTATAACAAGCTTTAACCCAAATGTGCTATAGGAGTAAAGACACAAGGCAACTTCTAAAACATTATCAGATGGACTCAATTGATTTTTGGGTCAGATCGCCAAAGGAAAACGTGCTTACGACGCACATATGAAATTTATTTACGTAATCCGATCCAAAAATCAATTATGACTCAGATTGGTCACGAAAGTTTACGAGTTAAATAATATGAACATAGAAGAAACATAAAAGTACCAGGACATTTTTGAATACTTGACTTGTCTTTCTAGGCAAAATAGTTTATTTCTTTTTCTCAAATAAACAGCAGCCGACAACAGTACCTGTGTGTTATTCACTTTTAACATTCATATTTGTACGCATTACATTATCAATATAAATACATACCGATTGGATGATGTATGTTGTGTTATTAAAAGGTGATAAGAGTTGATATCCTGAAGCACTGTTATACATCCGGAACACATTTTCAAATACAGCCTAATAACACATTACTAAAATCTCACAAAACACAATGATGCATTAGAGAATGTGTCACAAGGATACACTGACCTTTACGTCTTGCAATATATAACTGGATAATAGTTTAAAATTATAGATACACTTTAATAGCAATGATAACAATAATCAAAGTTACTATACATTGATATTAAAAATTTAGTTTTCATAAAATCAGTTTAAAATGTTCAAATTTTAAAGTTCAACTTCTGAAATCATAAACAAAAAACATTCCGAAGCTTTCTTGCAATCCCAAGGTGGTAATGCGGTGTTCATTTTATGCTGAAAACATTATATATTTTAAGTGCCAGCTGCTGGAACTCAACTTTAAAATGCGAGTGTCTCAATCCTTCTAGCAGCCGTAAATAAAAAAATTATGAGATTTATCAAATTAAAAGTCCAAACGTTATCATCCTGCGCGTCGCTTTAAATTCCATGGCTAAAATTGCGTGCATTATGCAAATAAAAGTGTAGACAATTTAAACAATCTTCCATTTTCAATTCATCTGAATGTGTTTTGGGTTCGGTTGAGTTGTAGAATTATGCACAGTATCTGATGTGTGACACACATTCTTCTTGTATGTGTTTAATTTGTTGTCCCCCCCCCCCCCCCATCATGTCCAATTATCACGGTTGGCTACGTACGGTGCAAAGGAAGTTCAACGTACATAAATACGCAGTAGTCGATGTGCGACACACATTCTACTTGTTCTGCATTACACATTCTATCCGTGTGCCTTGCTGACAAATTGATGTTCATACGAACGAATGTTCACCAGGTATTATTCATTTCAGATTTTAATTCGACTGTCCCCTACGTATGAAACCTCGGACACTTCACCCGTCGCTCTTGGAATACTCAAGATCTTTTAGTTGTTTTTTTGCACATGCAAAGAAACCTGTGTTTGGAGAAAACCTACGCATGGCTAGAGAACTCGCACAACCTTGGATTCACGAGTACATCGAAAAACCTCCGCATTACTGCTCTCAAGGAGGTAGGTTATTTCACAATTCCTGTCAAAGCTCTTGCAAGTGAAACAGAACTCATGCCCTCTGAATGATCCACGAACCCAACCTCTACAGCAAGAGTGAGGAAACTACGGCTCACAAATGCATTTTGTATGACCCAAAGACACATGCGACCTACCACTTAAAAATCACCCGCAAAATTATATTTATTTAGCACCACAAGCATCTTCGCCACACTAATCGGGTAAGAGAGGGACATTTTAAAAATCTGGAAACACTTGCGTTTATAATTATAGCAGGCCAAATCACTCCTGCCACGGTGTAATAATTGACATAACATGTACCCAAAGATGCAATAAGTGTGCAATGACTGAACTAATGTTTACTCAATCGGGGATAATCTATCAACAAAGCCCGCTGCTGTGACACTACTGCAGGCGACGTCAAACATCGCACGTAATAGAATCTTACCGAAAAGAATGGCCGCGAATACCAAATGAACTCAACATTATAATTACCCAAAACTCAACAGCAGCTGCTGAAATCCACTGCAGAGAACATGCTGCAGTAATCGTCAACATTGCAGTCAGTCAAATTACTGCACACTCCATAAACAATGAATACCAATTAGGCGTTTAAAGTCAATTCGGAGCACCACTTTATTGTACGGGAACTCCTCTCCTTACGAACAAGTTAGGTTCTAGAGGTCTGTTCCTAATTCGATTTGTTTGTAAGTCCAACGTCACTCATGTCAATTCCAAACATGGTGTACGGTAAGTACACTAAATACGGAGAATAGCTTTAAATGTCGTATAATATCCTGTAGATGTAACTGGTTCTTCGTGTTCTGCAGATGCTAGATGCCACCACTGCCATCTATTGCGCGGCGGTTGAACTTACGACTCTCGGTCTGAACAGGCAACTGGACATACGGAGAGGTTTCCTCGGATCTCTGAAAGTTCGTAAGTCGAATGTTCGTAAGTAGAGGAGTCTCTGTATTTTTGCTTGCAGATTAGACTATCCTGGTCTCTTGAGTTCTCACATGTCCAGCCGAAAACAACACTTGAAAGTGAAAGCTGGACATGAAAACAAAAATGAAGCATTTGCATCTGATCAAATTAGAGTCAATAGCCAACAATAATGCACTTTCAGCACACATCCAGTGCATTTCAACTTGAGGTAATTTCATCCCACTGCATGACAGCAAGGTACTCGTACATATGCCAATATATACACTACACACCGTCTTATATACGTAAAAAGCCATTGTAAAAGAGCAATGGGACTACAAATTACACACTACATTACGTTTCAGGGAATTAATTTCAATGAACAAGGCTGAATTCGAAAATAAGGCCGTTTCGCTTGTTAATGGTATTAAGAGGTTTCCTCAATGCATTCCACAAGTGTTGTCCAAAAACAAATGCGTGGATAGTTCAATCACCTTGCTACATTGCAAGAACCCGTGTGCTGTGAATGCACCAACACAGTGTAAATGGGCTTTGTCGATACTGATGCATCGTTCTTCAAGACTCGGTTCATAAACCTTCAATTTAAACCATTGCCAAACACGACTGGAAAAACAGGTTTTTTTACATAAAATCTATATAGCAGACTCCTGCCAAAGGTTGTGTGTATGCGTTATAATGTGTTTGTAGTTTCATACCGTACGTTATCCGTTTGGCGTCTTAATGTCTGTGTGATTGTATGTGCGTAAGTATGTATGTTTGTGTGGACAATTATTAAGTGGTTATGTGTCTTCGTGTGTGAGCTCCATACTCGCTGAATGCTCGCTGAATGCTCGCTGAATGCTAGCCAGCAGCATTTTCCCCATGTCTGTTGTCTATACATAGAATGTCTTTGTGTGCGCGTGCCTGTGCATTTGTGTACGTGTGCACGCATGCACGCTTGCTTACATGTGGTTCACACTAGCTCTCATAAACGGACCAGATCGTTATGTCTGACAAAAAAACCCGAGCAACCAAATAACCAGCCAAGCAAACATCCTCTCCGGCTAATGAAGCTCGCCATCTGCTGGAAAGAATATGAGCAAGTAAGGACAAAGAGGCTGAAATACTAACAGACTCAACAGCTAACACCTTTTAGGCTTCAAGATCACATGACAAATTCCTGCAATAGCCCGCAAAGCCACATAAGATCACATGTATGTGCACATCAGCTTGATTGAGCCAACAGCTTAGACAAAAAAAACATTTAAAACTATTGGCAAAGCAACGATTATGCTTGCTTCACCCTTTGGATGTTGAGAAAAAGCCCTAGGCACAGATGTGGTGGCAAGGTAGCAAGAATGTGGCACGATGCATCGATACATGCCGATTCTGAAGCTCACGATACATGTGCAAAAATCAATCGTGGGCTCAAGTGTCACTCCAGCGGCCACGAGAGGCGATGAGTCCACACTCGACCCTTGCAACACTCTTGTCGACATCCACCATGCAACAGAGATGAGGACGTTCCAACGTCATCTCCAATAACATCTTAAACAAACTTGGGTACAGAGTGAGAAATTTAAAGAAGCATCAATCTTTGTTTTTTTCGGTAAAGTCACGTAGAAATAAGAAAAAATAAAATTACATCATATACGACGTTTCGATTGCAACACAAGCAATCATCATCAGGTAGAGGAAACACATAACTGCAGAGATATATACAGACCTTAAGTAGAGGGAATTAACACAGATATACCAGGGGATACAGAGAGACGGAGCATCACACTAAATCAAACAGGGTTTAGCAAAATTTGGAAACTATGTAAAGCAACACAGACGGTCGGTTAAAACACAACGCAGAGAACATGTGTTGCTAAACCCTGTTTGATTTAGTGTGATGCTCCATCTCTCTGTAACCCCTGGTATATCTGTGTTAATTCCCTCTACTTAAGGTCTGTATATATATCTGCGGTTATGTGTTTCCTCTACCTGATGATTGCTTGTGTTGCAATAGAAACGTCGTAAATTATGTAATTTTATTTTTTCTTATTTCTACGTGACTTTACCGAAAAAAACCAAAGATTAATTCCTGCAGTCACGAAAGCACCAAATCGAGTTTAAAGAAGCATCTCCTGCTTTTGCACCAAAAGGCACACCTAGGTTTCACGTCCACATTCTTCAGGAAATGGTTCTGAACACTGGTACTACTACCAGACCGCACGTGCAACCGCAGCCTGGGAGAGAAAGTGAGATATTAAATCTTCTTCCGTGGGTATCTCGACGCCCAGCAGTGAATACGATTCGGATACCCGTGGAAGAATATGACTCGTCACCTGAGAGCGGAGCTGTCCACGTAGATGTGGACAGCTCCGATTAGCACGGTTGGCTATGTACGGCGCGAAAGAAGTTCAACATACGTACAAAGCATTTAATTCGAATTTTATTCATGGCTGCTGGAAGGACTGAGACATACTATGTTATTTCGTCAATTCAATGACACACACAGTGAAGCCTCTTTGTATCGTCGCAGGTGGCCACACCAAACACTAAAATAAAGATTAACATTCAACTTCTTGTCTTTGTCATTTCATGTACGTCGAACTTATTTCGAACCGTACGTAGCCAACCGTGCGAATCAGTTAGCTACGTGTGCACCAGAAGTACATTCTGTCATTGATGTGAGTGGCCAAATTACCATGGCAGGGGTCTGTTGACTCTTTCTTTGCATGCCCTGCCATGAGGTTATATGTGAAACCCAGTTTAAGACAGATGTGCTCTAGAGTAGCATGACATTGTTACCCTGATAATGAAAAACAAAGTTGAAGCCGCCACACAGCTGCCATATTAAGATAGCAAGGGCTACATCACACTGAAGATTATGAACAAGTTTGATATTGGTGTGCAATTACCATGTTGATTTACCACTGCAAAATGTACAATGTATGCACTTCCACGTTATATATTTATACCTATTGGAGGTTTTAAGGTGTTTATGACTTCATGACCTATCTCCCTACAATTTGGTGACTTTGTCAATGTGGTCACTATCCTATTTAATAATCTATTCTATTTATTTTCTGGTTTAGTGTGTAACGTTGCTCGTATTGTCAGTCTTATTTGTTCAATCTGGTTCGTTGTGTTGTTGGTTTCATCAGTCTAATGGTAACATTCAAATAGAATTTTCATAAATCATGCAGGAGTATCCTGAAAATAGCTTAAAAACCCACACATATATTTTAGATAACATATGCCAGCTTGATTTACAATCCAATTTTGAACGTTTTGTCTGCATCATCTCCCCAAAGATGGCTGCACAACAGATTTTTTTCATTCACGTAATGCGCCAGTTCTCAACAAAAGCCAACTTTGGAGACAATTAACTCTCGTGGGTTATGTTTTTTTTCAGGACACGCCACCCCCCTCGCCTCCTCAAATAACACGTTGTTACACCAACGATTCAAAGCACGCACAAGCGAGCCGCAAAAAGCATCCATTTCCATCGATGCGCGCAAAATCAGACGCGCTCTGCCCACGTACTCTGTGCTGCAACGCCCAAAAGGCAACTGTGGGCTTTCCCCACGACGGTGCGCAAAAAAACGCCCCACCCCCCCCCCCCCCTCCCCTAAGCGTCCTTCACCTCGGCGCTCGCCGCCACTCGACAGCGCCCGCTCTCCTCCCCAGCCGGCCCCTCGGCGTCCCCTTCCGTGCCCGAGGTGGGCCGAGGCTCGATGGCGCCGGCCCCGGCGCCGCCGCTGTGCGTGAGGCCGCCCAGCAGCGAGCTGCTCGTGGGAGCGTCCGTCAGGAGGCTGCCGACCAGAACGTGGGAGCCCCACGTGCGGTGACGGATCACCTTGCAGCAGCCCAGGTCCTCCACCTGGAAGCCCAGCTGCCGGTAGCGTCCGTCCGTCTCAAAAAGGGGACTGTTCGTGTACGGCCCAAAGAACTAAAAAAAAAAAGAGACAGGGCGTAGTGGAAATTTACATTATGATACCAGTACTGGTGAGTTGTATATACGGGAAAACATCCACGAGCCTCAAGAGTCTGATTCACGAGGGTCATACTTTAGGGTTGAGCATTTCTCCGCTCGAGCTTTCACCATGCACTGCTACGGACATCTTAACTCTGACTCCTGAAGATGCCTGTAGTAACGCAGGGAAAAAAAAACTTGAGAAGGAATTCTCAACACGTAGCCCAACCTGGAAGACTACATTTAAGAGTGGCTGCGACAACCGACGTGGCTTCCTGAATGTAAGTTTGGAATGTGCAAGAAAACCGTAGAACCTGGAGAATACCCAAGCTTATAGCGCTGAAATGTGTTCAGAGACACGTTAATAAAAAAAAACACTTTTTGTGCCGTCATCTCCTGGCCACCACGCAGCACAGTGGGTGTGAAGAGTTTCATACATCTGTGTGATCCATTACCCTTTTCCCTCAAAGAGCAACATTCTGAATGTGTGCCACCGCACCTGGAAGAGTGGAGGACATAAGAGGGATGAGTGGCCCAAAGCTTGTCTTGATTGGTGCTGCTGAGTTCTATAACGGTCCCCCCCCCCCCCCGCCGAGTGGCGATGGCAGCTGCTTGTAAAAAAAAACCCTAGGCTTCATATTACTGAAAAACCATGATATACCTTACAGCCCCATCAGATGGCACACAAGCATATGGCAGCCTTATATAGCTGTTGGCGTTAAGGAAGGTGGCAAGTAATTCGAAACGGACATTATTTTGACGATTGGTAGTTTTGTGGTTTATACGCAGGTGTTTGGGAGGCCAATGCAGGGGTGGATGGTAGGGTTAAAATCGGGTTGATTCGATCTCTTTTCCACGACCTGGTAAAGGACCCTAAAAGCATCATTCAATGTTACCAGACGTTTTTATACCAGGGATTCTGGGAGTTTGTAGAGGAACGAAAGAGGCTGAAAATACTTTACGACCATTGTGATTAACAACCCATGTTGTAGAGATCAAACACATGGTAACCTTACAAATTGGATAGAGATTCCTGCAGTAATCAAGGTGAGATATAACTGAAGAATACAGCGGTATGGAGATCAAGGGATATGCAAATAAAGGGGAAAATGAAAGCTGCGGGGGAGGGGGGGGTTACTCACAGGCATTCCGGACGAAGGGTCGACAAAGTCTGCCCAGTATCCCTCCGCACGCAGGGCAAAGCAGATCTCCTTAGCGCCTTCCACAAACTGCACAACGAGAGAGGCATGCATTCAAACATGGGCTGGACTTTAACGCGATGAATGGTGTACTCAAATCTGAGCCAGTTTGCAGAGTAACATTTCATTCCTGCCTCTTCGTTGTAGCATCCTTGGGAAATAACCAAGGTGCGCAATCTGATCCTTTCACAATGTTTTAAAAGAGCAGCCCATTTCGTGCCTGTGTCATGCTCCAGATTTGTTAAAATTCAGAACAAATTTTGTATGTATGTAAAATATACTTTCCTCCAGCCAAAATGAAATAGCTTCATGATTATAAGTAGTAGAGGTTTGAAATATATCATGATCAGGATTGGTCATAAACTACAGGAAACCTTAATTTTATAATAAGACATCTCAAAAGTGCAATAGTCTCAGCTTCAATATCAATGGCCAAACACAAATCAAATGACTATAAAATGTGTCAACTCAAGAGTACCACAATATAGTGGACAATGCTCTGCCACTCCAACAAGACCTAAAAGAACCGCCACACCATAGGCTGAAATCCAGGAAACTTTTCTGGATGTACGCCTTTGCTCTAGTAGCCAAAAATAAAAACCATCAACAGTGGCTGGACGGAATTATGGGCACCTATGGACATGGCAAACAAAACGCTCATTGACGACCCGACTTTGGAAGCACCAGGATTCTCTCTTCCACGACCACTATGGACCTCGCTAAATCGCTCTCGAATGCGGCGGGAGAGATGCGCGTACACCTTCCGCAAACAAAAGATCAAAGAAACGCCGTACTATGACTGTACTAAAGTCTAAACCATCAGACACATCACCAAGAAATGCGCCAACCTTGCACATTCTAGCGGTGTTGCTGCGATTCATAGGGCATTTAGATTATTCTAGATTTGAATTTTTTTTTCTTGCTGTGGTTGTCACACCTGATGATGATTGCTTGTGTTGCAATCGAAACGTCGTGATTTATTTCTATTCTTATTTTATTATTTTTCACCTACGTGACTTTACCGAAAGAACCAAAGAGTATAGGCATTAGATTAGTTGAAAACATTTAGCATTCAACTATAACACGTTTCAAAACTGTTGCTTTTCCATCCTGCCGTAAGAAAGTATTGCCCACCAATGAGTGCTAAGAATTGGTATATATTTCACCACAAGCAGAATATATTTGCCTGCACAACTGAAGGGTGAAAAATCGACTGGAATACAGGACCCTGATGTATGCTAGGAAAACACCTGTCACTTCTAAATGACCTAATAGGACACGTGATTCTTGACAGCTGTAGGGGCTACCAGAAAAAAGGGAAATTCACTCTTTGCCTAGAGGCCAAATATAATTTGGTGAAAAATAAATGACAAAAACCCCAAAAAGCCTCACATCGTAATTAACAAGTGTCTTAAAAACCACTCTCCTTTTCAACAATTTTTTAGGTTGAAGGTCGTGCAGAAATGGCTCAATGTACCCATATTCCCACCCTCTCCTCTACAGCCTCCCCAAGGGTCCTCATTCGTATCCACACTCCAGAAGATCGAAAATGCAGCTACTCGACTTCTGACCCGCACCCATGAATGACACCACATCACCACAATACTCCGAAACCTCCGTTGGGTTCCAATCCAATCCGGGATCAATTTCTTGGTCACACTCATTGTTTCCAAGCCACTGCCTACCTCTCTCCCTTCTTGTCTCATCCTACTTCCCCCTTCGCACACTCTCTATGCTGCAGCAACGCCTTTCTAGTGAAGTAGCTAATCAATCTTCGACAGGCTCAGGCAGTCTGATTCTGTACGGCATTTTGAGACACAGTAACGTTTAGACAATATATAAATCCAAACGGTATTGTATTGCACAGCTCGCCAACTGGAGCCTCACATTTTGCATCAACCGATCTCTCTCCTCTTCCACATCGGGGCTCCACGCCGTCATGTTGTTCTGCGTTTTCTGTGTAACTGTGATGACTGTGAGGTCTGAGTTCGGTGCTTCTGGGAACATGGTAGCGAAATCTAGTGTGGGAGGAAACAAAAAAAACACACAACACACAAAAACACTCAAACAATGGCATTACCCCAAGCATGACATTATTTTACAGGTCACCAGCCACCCACAAACGTGTGTTGGGTGTCCAGAACAAGTCGTTTTGTATGGCGTGAAATGGTTGGAAAGGTGGTCTCATGAGGTGGCCGGGTGGATCGGGGGGGTTAGCGCCAACCATGTCAGAGAACTGTGTCAGCAGCACTGAGATTATGGGCTGGAATAGAGGAAGGCACCAATAACTAAACCAGGTTCTCAAGTGTAGCGGAGTTCATCCTTTGAGCACAGTCTCAAAGGACTGCACACAAGAAAAAATATGCTAAATTTGCTTTTTAAAGTAGTATAGAATATACCAGGATTGCAAACAAAATGTTTCAATCTTATTGCTATCCATCAAACATCTCCATAACATGGCATCTGAGAATACGCACCACCTATAGTAGATAATAGGTAAATAAAGGGACCTCAAAAGGAGTTCTGTCATTGTCCCAAGTCATTCTTGCACATTTGCTGATAAACTTCTGTCCACAAGAATTCCAAAAAGATTTTCGTTACATTTCATCGTATGCCACTGGCATATAAATGTGAGAAGAAAAATGGTCGTATGGTCATAGTCTGTTCATATCACCCAGAAATGTACCGGATCTCATCAGATCTTGGAAGGTCAGCAGACTTGAGCTTGAATTGTGCTTGGATGGGTGACTGCCATGCATAAAATACAGGTGCAGTGGCATGGCGGGACAGTAGAGGCAAGTGCATAAAATTATATTGTTGTACTGCACTCCCCCTACCACCCTACCCCCCGCCCCCCCCCCCCCCCCCCCCCCCCCCCCCCCCCCCCCCGATATTGACTAACCTGCAATGACCAGCGTGGTGAAATACTGTCAAAATAACCCTCGTGCTCCGCAAGGTGTGGAGAGGCCCTCATCCAGCAGTGGACTGACAAGAGTGGACTTTAAATGTACGTGGTCTAAGGTAGGAGACTCACCTCTCTGCAGTAGCTCAGGACAGCCCTGCACCACGCACTCCACGGGACCCGAGTCGAAGTACGTTTCGGCACTCTGTGGGATCGGAGGCACGGGCGAACTCTCCATGCCCTGCCAAGCAGAATCCACAAAATGGTCAATGCACTGGCAATTGCACAGTCTTCCTGTTGCTATTTAACTCGGCTATATCCCATTGACAATGTGATTGGTTTCGCAAGAGAGCCGTGGAATTTCGCTGACAAAGAGATAGCTGATGGTTTTGTTTTATAATTTAAATGTAGGAGAAATTCAAGCTCTTGCTAAAACCAGTTATTCAAGAAAACTCATAATCCCTGCATTACCCACAAACCTGACTTTCAAGTTGCCCGACAGTGGCGCATTGCTCACGTTTTAATTGCAAATCTTTAAACAATACACGTGCATATTTAATCAATAAAAGCGAACACTTCGGTTCCAACTCAGCTGTCAAATTCCCAGACAAAATATAGCACCGGCACAGAGTGATCTGCCACCTTAAAGTCACTGCTGCACTGCACTAGCCCGGTGCAAATTGAACCGCCACACGAGCGCAACCATGTGCCAAACCCAATTCTCTTAAAATTCAAGGGGCACGCGTGCATTTAATCAGAGCAAGCAAGCGCGCACCGCGCGTATTCCCACGGGAAAATTCTAACACCGGCACATTAGCGGAGAGGTTTAGTGACCCATCACCTGGAACTCGTTGACGAACTGCGCCAGCACGAACGTGTGGCGGTCCTGAGCCGAGGGCTCGACGAGCACGTCGGGGAGCTGCTGACGGCGTGCTGGCGGTTGGGCGCCGGCTGCTAGGTTTCTCGCGGACGCCGGGCCCACGGCGCCGTGCACTTGGCTGCTGAAGCCCATGTTGCCAGGCAGCTGGAAGCGGCTGTCGCGAGGCCCGAAAGGCCCCATCTGCTCGTCCGGCCAAACCGTCTGGACGTCTGTGCAAGGAAGACGGTAAGCAAACAAAAAAACAACGTCTTTGTATAACCTAAAAATCCGCATTATTACAAGCACGTTATAAAAATAAAGATATCTTCTGCGATGTGTTTTCGGGTTGTACCGCGTGTTGTCGAACTCTCCACGTACCATGAGCTTCATCAGGACCTGCCTTTGGACACCCCACTGAAAAAATGTATTACAACCGAAAATACTTTTGGGACTATTGGGGCATGAGTGTTTCCTTCACCAGCATCTCCTTGCAGTCATCCTTACAGTCAGAATGGTCACCATTCTTCCTGGTCATGGTCACACCTCCACTATATTTTAGTTTCCTCTAATTGACCTGACTTGATTCTTTGATACTCTTGTGAACTCAATACCTGGCCGTGCACATCAAATGCAACCCACCACAATTTGACCTCGCTGCAGTTTATTCCAATCATATCCATAAAGAACACAGCGTTGAAATACACTGACAGCCTCACCTCCGTCTTGTGGGGAGGCAACTGTCACGTCGCTCTCTCCACCTCCCGCTACCCCGGATGTGGAGAAGGTCCTGCCAGCCGCCACGCGACATGCCAGCGCGCGCACACCCGCCACGTACGTCACCAGGCGCACACGGCCACCCAGCACCTGGAAGCAGACAAAACCCAAGCACGCAAACATAAGGATGCACGGATTGATGTATTCTTAAGACTTAGGATACATGCAAATGATTGGTCTGTAGATAGGTCCTTCTGAACTAAACGCCGTACTGCCAGCTTCTGTCAAACCTCAGAGCCTGGCAGGTTGGGACTAAAGAGATATGTGACATTGAATCAACCCCACCTCCAAAGAGATGTGCCACCACAGCCATGTTTGTCAAGTGCAACTATTAAAAGCTGATTCCAGGATAGGGGGTCTCAAAGTGGGGTGATGGGGTCTCCACAATTCCCAGCTGTCTTTACCTATCCAGTGCTAATATTGACCACACCACTCCTCCGAAAACCCAATCAAGTGAACTCATCACAAATCAGGGTCTCGTTGCTCTATAAACTACAAGCAAACTGTCTACCTACATGTACAGTCCTTTTTTTTATTAATACACTGCTGCATGACAGCCTCTTCACACCATGCGGACATCTGGCAGTGTATGTAAGAAAGTGGTATTTAATATACAGTATATTATTAAATAAGCATATTCTTTATCAGGAATAATTGTGAAACGTATATTATCATCTTACATATCATCAGTATTAACAGGCCATTGTGAACAATGCCGTTGACAGCCACACCTCACCATGAATTCCAAGCTAATAAATTCCACAGCAATTTCCACAGCACCAGATGTGATCTATCCACTGCTGGATAAAGGCTTTTCCACATCCGTCACACGATGCAACAATCCATCTATGTACCGAGTGGTGGCTGGCTTTCCGTAGTATAGATTGATCAGCAGTAAAATAGCATTAAATAGTCACACGATTTCTCATTTGACCGAGGATGCGACGTATGGAGTGATGTGATCAGTTCGTGTGCAGAAGCCACAACCTTGGCTGTGGTTAAGTCTCGCCCACCAGTATCTCATTTTTTTAATCTCCCGATTGATGTTTTTTTCTGTGTTTCAGTGCAATTTTAAGCATGCACCTCTTGTGCATTTCTCAGCTTTTTTCCTCCACATTGAATTTTTTTTGTACGAAAGTATGCGAGTGAACACACTGTACTGCAGAAACCGAGCCCAATAAACGGGTCGACACGAACTGCCCGCACACGACCCAGCCCACAAAGTTGTTGGCACTGCCACAAAGTTGTTGGCACTGCCACAAAGTTGTTGGCACTGCCACAAAGTTGTTGGCACTGCCACAAAGTTGTTGGGATAGCAACGAGACAGCCGGTAGAACACATCGGTTCTGCTTATAATAACAATATAACAGTGGGGGGGGGAGGGGAGGCACGTTAACCTGCCAAGACAGACCGGGGAACCACCTGCAGCTGCGTACCTTGGCCATGGCGTGAGGCGGGTGAGTTCTCGGCAAGGCCTGAGTGGGAGAAGGGTACAGACGGAAGCACAGGCGGTTGCGCGCGGGTGAGAAAAACGCGCCCCGGCACTGACGAAACGCAGGGGGCATCTTACGCCACCGTGGCGGCAACAAATTCATCTTCCATGGTACAGCGTTGCGGAGGGTGGCATTCTGACCACAGCCTCGTAGCGGTGGCGATTGCGGAGGCGACGGCGACGATTCCTACTCTTACTTGCTGTTTAACGTTCCGGGTTTTGCCGAGGAAACCAAATCAATTGGCTTCAATTCGCCGACGTAACAACTTTTGTTCGGCATTGTCGGGTGATGGGAGGGTTATAGTTAACGAGTTGAATTTATACCGACACGAAAATAAACTAAATCATGCTTATTTTGACGATAATAACAACGGTGTAAAGCATACTTATTCTGGCGTTAACGATGATGTTGGTAACGGTTAACAGTGGTCACGATAACCGTGAGGATGGTGACCGCAACAGTTCTAACGGTGATGAGGATCCTCGTGGCGATGACGATGGTAATCGTGGTGGGGGTGACATTGATCAGGCAATCTGTGAACCCTCGTCGGGATGGGAACCCATGCGTTACTGCTGCTCTCCAAACGTCGATTCAATTACCACGGAGTGTGAAGTTCAAGCGTTACTAACAATAATTACATTTATCCAGCGCGATTCATCAAGGATTTCAAAGCGATCTTACAGGACACAGACACTCGGCGTAACAATAACATTACGAATACATTCTAAGAATCATTTGCGAAACGAACTAAAAGTTTAATAGTCGAAAGCGTATATAAATAGGTTTTATAAGGCGCATTTTAAAAATGTCCACATACTCAGCAAGACGTCTATGTCTTCGTGGAAGTGCGTTCCATAGCCTGGGGGCTACACGGGACAACGCTCGGTCACCCAGAGACCGAAACCTCGACCTGGACATGAAGAGAAGAGGGGGATCTGCATCATCCCCAGATCTTAGGGACCTTTAGGGGGGGGCATATGAGGGTGGCATATTGGTGCAGCATGTCAACGATGTCGGCTGGGGGCAAGACGGTTCACTGCTTGTTGACACAACAAGCATTGAAATAATCTCGTGGGATTTTTTTGTTGTTGATTTAAATACAAAAGTAGTACCTTATTCAAGGTTCCCCTCATCCCGACTACGTAGTTGTATTTGATAACGGCGCCCTATGGTCAACCGCGCACTACACAGCAGCCCTTTTGTCAAGCCGCTGCTGGATGAGGCCTCCCGAAACGCAGCGTCGGTGTTATTATTTGACCGCTGGTCGGTGCGGGATGAAGGAGGGGGAAGACACGCGTCGGAGCGTAGAAATCAGGTGAAACGTTTAAGATGTCGCGGTCAAAGCTATCCAAAAGCAGCCTACAATAAACGACGCATAACCAAACGCCAAATTGGTATTATACAATTATCGCTTTATTTTACCTACAACGGATAAGCAACCGCGTACGTGCCGACGTCGTGGATTGGTCCAAAATGACGCGAGGGGGGCGTATCCGCTCGCGCGTGTCCAATCAGGCAGAGAAACGCGTAGCACGGACCAATCAGCGGCACGGTAAGGGCAGGGCATGCTTAAACGGGGTGGGGAATCTACCGAGCGGGTCGACGTGACCCCTGGCTCTGTAGGCCTCCCGCGACTGTGACAAGCGGGTCCGGTCGACTGACTCTTAAGTTCAGGCAACAAAACAAAGGGAGAGAGTAGGACAAAGTGAGTGTCGAGAGACTCACCACGAGCGTTGAGAGGAAGAAACAACAGCAGCAAGAAGCGAGGAGGCGACGGAGACTCCGAGTTCGTAAGGAGGCTGACGCGAAAACCTCAACGCGAATGACGATTTAAGGGACCGCGACGATTTAACAAGTACAAACTTTACGCAATACCGTAAAGCAAGGGACCGCGACGATTTAAAAAAAGTTACATCAAAATTTGCTTAGCTCTTTCGGTAAAGTCACGTTGAAGGGAAACGTGACTTTACCGAAAGAGCTAAGAATATGAATTACTGCAGTCACGAAAGCTTCAAATCAAAATTTAACATCAAAATAGTCAAGCAGACGCATACGTGTCGAACCCCTGATCGGTGCCCTAATCTTATTACAGACAAATTTCAGATCTTATTGGTATATATCTCAACGTCCATTCTGTGTGCCTATGTGTGTGTGTCTCTTTGGAAGAACGTTAATCAACCAGGTGGGGGTGTTGACTGTTGTGTTGGCCGACTCTCTGTGTTGTATTGCATTATATTTCTAAGTTTACGAGGTTTATATTCTTGGTTCTTTCGGTAAAGTCACGTTGAAGGGAAACAATACAATAATAATATATATAAAACAATGAAATTCTCACGACGTTTCGATTGTAACACAGTCATCATCAGGTGTGAAAACCAACGGCAGGAAACATTTGAAAGAAGTGGCGGTTTGTATTTATTTATTTTCAAACGGTGTTTGTATTTATTTATTTTTAAGGTTGGCACCATGGATAGCGATTTGGCAGTTTATTTAGAAGGACGAGTCCATCTATGTTCGGAAAAGAGAAGGGGTGAGACGAAAAATTAATGTATGCTGTCTGAAAGCCACCGTAAGCGTGAACAATCAAGACCCGAAATGGTTTATCAAATCCTTCCAATGATTGCTAAGCCAGAATCCATCTTCTCGGTTGAAATTGTCTCTGTGCTTGTATATGTGGATAGCCTCATGAACGAATCTCTCATGGTAGCCAGATGGCTTACAAAGAACCTCTGTCTTGGTGAAGTCAATGTCATGTGAGCCTACTGAATTATAACAGTGATCTGCCACGGCCGAGGTGTTGGTCCTACCGTGTTTAAGGTCTGCTTTGTGTTCACGAATGCGGTCCGAGACATGTCGTTTGGTTTCTCTAATGTAACTACTACCACAGAGGCAAATAAGTTTGTAGACACCAGGGTACTGTATGTCCGGAATCACATTTTTTACAATCTGTAAAAGATCACTGTTATAATTCAGTGGGCTCACATGACATTGACTTCTCCAAGACAGATGTTTTTTGCAAGCCATCGGGCTACCATGAGAGATTCGTTCATGAGGCTATCCACATATACAAACACAGAGACAATTTCAACCGAGAAGATGGATTCTGGCTTAGGAATCATTGGAAGGATTTGTTAAACCATTTCGGGTATTAATTGATTGTTCACGCTTACGGTGGCTTTCAGACAGCATACATTAAATTTTCGTCTCCCCCCCTCCTCTTTTCCGAACATAGATGGACTCGTCCTTCTAAACAAACTGTCAATCGCTATCCATGGTGCCAACGCTTAAAAGTAAATAAATGCAAACACCGTTTGGAAATAAATAAATAAATCCGGACCGTCACTTCTTTCAAATGTTTCTTGCCGTTGGTTTTCACACCTGATGATGACTGTTTGTGTTACAGTCGAAACGTCGTGAGAATTTCATTGTTATATATATTTTATTATTTTATTGTTTCCCTTCAACGTGACTTTACCAAAAGAACCAAGAATATGAATCACTGCAGTCACAAAAGCTTTAAATCAAAATTTTACGAGGTTTGTTTTCTCATTCTTTTGTACCTGATGATGGTTGCTTGTGTTGCAATCTAAACGTCGTATTCTATGATTATTTTATTTGATTTATTTCTACGTGACTTTACCGAAAGAACCAAAGAGTAATTCCTGCAGTCACGAAAGCTTCGAATCTAGTACAAACAAATAGACCAAAAACAAATCTTGTTGTTTTAATTACCTAACAGTTTTTTATGTACTGATACCTGTCAACCCATTATCAGTGCCGACCTTATTACAGACCAATTCAGACCTTATTGGTCACCCCGTGCCCTTTATACATTTCAACGTTCATCCTACAAAGTCCCATCACAAGGGAGAATAACAGACAATTTGCATTTTTTTGTGCCCGCATTGAAACGGCTGTACGCCGTATGGACCTGCACAAGATTACAGGGTTAACCCGTATGGGTTGACATCTATGCGGACGACAAATGTCGAATTCATGAAAACGGGGTAGCGCTTTGTGGGGGAAATCAACAGGAAATCCATCGGATAGACCCGCCGCTGCCACGGGAATGTGGAATTTCCACCACTGGCTAAGCAGTTCTGTAAATAGGGGATGAACAGCCGTCTTAATGTCAGTTTAGCACGGAGACCGAAACAGGAGGATTTATCCACAGCTCTGCCTGTCGCCTGATAATGCTAGTTGCAATTACGGGCCAAACGTAGTACTCGAATTGTAAATGTCGTGGCTCTGGTCTCCAACACACACCAGTGTGCTGTAGTATTCACGAATTGGCAAGTTCTGTTTACGTAGCAAACCTTACTAATTGGCTGTGTCGGGTGGTGGCGGGTTTAACGACGCATTTATATTTACGTTATCTCAACCCAAAAACCTCTATGATGGACCGTCTGAAATGCTCATATGATATGACAAAATGACTGTTTTTGTATTTTAAAGCAAATACTGAACATAGCAGCTGAGAAAAAAAGGAAGAATAATTAATATTAAAATAATTTGAGTCACGTCTATTTCTTAAATTAATTGGTTGTTTCTTAAATGCATTGATTTTTTAAAAAACGTGTTAATGAGGGTAAATAATACCCTCATTGTGTTTAAACGACGAACTATATGTTTATATTTTAATGTCCAATTGATTTGATAATCCATTCTTTACTGAAACGGCATTTATCCAAGCGATAATCAAACTGTGAAGCCAGTGAGTAGTGTGCGTCTCTTATGAGTCAGTAGTCACACGAAACTTTGCACTCTGAAATTAAATTCAAGCCACCTTTGTTGAACCCCAACACGTGCCACTCGTGCTTGCCCATTTGTCAGACCGTTGGGACCGAGGAACGTTGCACGATTGTGAGCAGATGCCTGGTAATGTCTGTGGGTAATTACCAAGGTGTGCTATCGACTCTTAATGTGGGAAATAAATACCCCAAGGCACCATTTACAAACACACTGCCCGAATCTCAAATTATGAAAATGAGCCATAATTACAGAACACTGTACAACGTTTTCTTTTATTTTCTTCAGAAAAAGATAGAATAATACCAATTGTCTTATTTGCAAATTATCAATTTTGGCTCAATATACTCTCATCGATTCCAAATGCTGAAATACCGAGTTTCAAATAAACAAACGCATAAACAAAGCAGATGATTGCAATGATGAACAGCCATTTGACATGTCCTGCTGGATGATGGCCTCCCCATGCCATGTCTACTGGACATTTGTGAAAAAGAGCTTTGTAGCTCATCGGATTCTTCCAATATAAATAAATATTCTGATGTTAGTCATGTGTGTTGTTTGATCTACTTTTCTATGCCGACCAGTGTGGCTTGGTAAAGATGGGGCCAACGATCCGTTTTGATATCACTGGGCCATTGATGCTAGCCGTGACCAGGAATCTAACTCGGGTTGCTGAATTGGTTATGCAGTGCGCTAATCACTGTGTCATCACTCCAACATATTAATGTGCATTCGCTTAATTTTCCAAACGATTCAGTTGACATTGAATATGCACCACTGTAGCGCTAAAATGCTTTTTTTTTAAGCAGATCTATTTTCTTGCTTTATTTTAGTCATCATCACACATTTGGCAATTGTATAATTCAATTATGACTCGAATGCTGAGTCAGAAAATGTATGTATTTATTTTTCACGTGCTTGCTGTGTTGTGAACTCGGCAACCTAAGTTTGCTATCCTTGGCTCACATCATTAGTGAATGATAACTGAACCAGTTCCAAGAGCCCCCCCCCCCACCAAAACCATCACCCACCAGCACAGACTGGCTTGATAGAGTCTGATAATACAACCCCTCCTTGGAGACCTTCATCCAGCGGTGGATTGACAAAGGACGTAAATAATGAAACGACGGAACGACGAACGCCAACGGCACGTAACTGGCGCGCATATTTTTGCGCTGCACAATTTCCAGCAGAAATATATTGACCTTGAAAATCATTGCTGTCATAAAACATGTTATTTTCATTCCTTTCAGCAATTGAATTTTTGCGAGCATTTTGTTGTTGTTGTTGATCGCCAAGGGGAGATCGTGGCATGCAAAGTGAATGCAGACACGATTGTTATTCACAGTCCGTACTCCATTAACCTCTCCCCCCTCTCACGGCCCCGCAAAACAGATGGCAGGCATTGGCTTGCGCTGCGTGTTTGCATGTGTGTATGTCCACGATTGTGTTAATTTAATTCCTATTCATTACACTCTGCAGTAAGGACCTACTTACTCCATGTATATTTCATTGCTTCCTACAGTATATTTATGCGTCGTAATGAATGCTTGATGCGCGCCAGCTCATTAAAAAAAAACCTCCTTGTGCTGCATCGGAGAGGCGCTCAGCTGTGGCCAAAAGTCGCATCTGGTTGGGGCAGATGAGGTTGAAACAATGTGCGGTCCAGATCAATTAAGTGCAATTTTTCACGCCTAGGGTTGGCTCATTGAGTCGGCCTTAGCTTGACAAGAACGGATTAATACGCACAGCTCTCTGATGCGTTTTCGGGTTGTGCCACATGTTATTCGGCATGTCGCCTGATATTGCTCTCCGCATATTGGGAGCTTCGTAAGTTCCAGAATTCAAATTCAGTTCATCATGGACCATTGTCTATCTACTGCTGGAGTAATGCCTCTCTCCATGATGTCACTATCCTTTACAGTCCTGTGATGCCACATTCAATGTTATCATAATCATCAGTCATGGTCAAATCCACTGCTGGATAAGAGACTGGTCATCCTCGCAGTGGCTTTCAGCTAGCCCTCGAACAAAGACGGTCACTGCATCTCGCGTTTTCAGATGCGCTTCTGCGGTCGTATGGAACGCTCTTCTTTCCGACATTTCTTTAGAATTACTTTTTTGTGTTTAGTTTCTTGCCCTTGCCCACATCTCCGATTAGCATGGTTGGCTAGGTACGGTGCGAAAGAAGTTCAACATGCACACATAGACCTCCCTGATCTCAGCTCCATATGTCTGGAACTTCTTAAGCTTCTGCAGTTCATTCATTCAAACTCAGCTTATGAAGGGGCTCTCAGAACGTGGAGCGAAACGTTAGATAATCGCACCAGACAACACACTGTACAACACCAAAATATGCCGCAGAGCTGCGCAACACAACCGTGAAAACCTACTTAATTAGGTTTAATAATAATTGTGTAATTAAATGTGACGTCAGAGTTTGAGCTGTGACTATTGTGTACAGCCTGGTAACGTGCCTGACCTTTTCGTACATTGGCATCATTAATCTATTAATTATTTATCATATTAAAAACATGTCTTTTGGCCAAAGGGCAATTAACATGTAAACGCCACCTTTAGAACAATAACTTTAACTAAGACTTATGCTCTTTCTGTTCTACTCTGATATCGTTGATCCTGAGCCCACATTACCTCCCTACATTTTACAGCTGTATAAAGCAGTCATCAACACCTCAACATCTCCCACTGTTCAATTTTAAAATATTGTCCATTACATACAAAGCATGGTGGCGCTCACCTCATCCGTGCACTGTCCAGGCTCCTTTGCTTACCTTCAAAGATCTGGAATCTAAGTGGGCTTCGGCAGGACACATCACGAGATGGGATGATGATAGCCGATCGATGAGAATGGCAACGGAGTGACAGCCAAAGGAGAGAATACAATCTAAATGAAGACCACCGTGGGGCAATGAGATCAGCTCGTATGTAGAATTGAGATGACTTTTGTACCAAAGAACCATTTGGAGTGGCAATGGTACGGGTAGATCTTAATATAGCAGTGGATAGAACCTGCTGCAGAAATCCATCGTTGGCTACCCGACAATCCTCCAACCAGGATCTGACCTACCGAGGAAAATCTGGTCCTCCTTGAATCGGATCCAGACACTCTATGGAAGATGTGGGACACTTTTTCCATGAATGGAAATTAATGAGAGTCCACTTTGCGACTGTGGTGGTGCGACGTCTCAGACTGTGCAACATATCGCGAACGACTGCCACAATCGGATCATTCAACGGCAATCTTAAACAAATCCACGTGGCTACAACCTGGAGCAGTCGAATGGATATCAAATCTTGACATCAATTTATAACCTGTTGCAATCCCTAAAAATTCAGTATGAAAGAAGAAAGTGGATAGACAATGCTGCCATATATGGTGCTCCCAGAGTTTCGATTACCTACCAAGTGGAGTGCAGGCTAATAATGCAATAATGTTAATTCATCGCTCATGCCTTCATCTCTGTGATACCTAGATTAATGCAACTCTCTCCACGAATCCCCGATGTCTAAACTGTAAATCATACCGCGTCTCACTGCTTCAGCAGCTTTCTCTTCAGGCGACGTTGAGTTTCTGCTGGTGAGGATTCTCATTTACTGGAGGGATGATTTATCGTCTAATGAGTTTCTGTGCCATTTACTCTTTCATCAGTCTCGGCAGTTTGTGGGAGTGCCTCTTCTGCTTAATCTTCCTCGGCAGTGATGGTGCCAGCCCATCAGAGATCCGATGCAGACATTCTTTTTGGAGGTCTACCTTTCAATTTATAAAATCCTAGGGAGAAGACAGAAGAGCAAATCAAGGCAGAGATGAGAGATAATTTACTTTTTTGTATTAGATTATTAGGATATGCATTCGAGTTGATATTTGATATTCCACTTTTTAAATGAATCCAGCGCCCTTTGAGCTACTTGGGGCAGCAGTATGATAACAAGGTTGGCTGCTTTGAAGGTTCGTGGAGCCAAAGGCGAGCTCAAGCATCTTAGGTTTCGGTTGGAATGCATGAAGTTCACCCAACATAAATCATTCTTTAGACTCTAAAAACCTAATGGGTGTACTTAAGGCTGAAGAGCCAAAATAAGATGTATTTAGGAATTCTGCTCATATTAATATAGGTCACAGACCAAACATTAAGTTTCAAGTTTATTTTATTTAACCAGGTGAGAACTCAAGAAACTAGGATAGTCTCATTTGCAAGAGTAACTTGGGGCCATTAGTCTGCCAGTATTATTAATACGGATCAAGCTGGTAAACAATTTTGAAGTTGATCTAGCTTTGTTTTTGGGCTTGGTCATGTAGTAATATGGTGCCAAGATTATATTTATACGCATAAGATATAACTTTGTAAACGTGAAATTCTTATCTGGTGGTGTAGGGTTAATGAGAAGAATACTTAAGAATATGTTGTTTATACTCGTTGGGTCTTTCGGTAAAGTCACGTCGATAGAAAAATAAAAAATCACTACGTTTCGATCGCAACACAAGCAATCGTCTTCAGGTGAAAAAATACAGCAGGCGGACTGCTGAGGCAGGAGGAAACATAGCGAGAGAGCTACCGCAGCCAAAGGATATAAAGGTTTGTTTTCCACTCTGCCAAACGTCGTGGCACATGCTCACCGCACCTTCGATTAGCACCGTTGGCTACATACGGTGTGAAGAAAGTTCAACATACATACGTAAAAGCTCTGCTGGCATGTTTTGCGTTTCGTTGGGAGTCCTCTTGTCAATACGATCTGCTAACCTTGCAGCATTTGTTCAACAAGCCTGGCACTGCTGATAAGTCCAAAATCTATACCAGTCTAGAGGTTTCCTTGCTTAAACAAATACTGCTGGATATTTGTTCATAAGGCAAATAGACTCGTGGAAAATGCATGTTTATTTTCGTATGAAGACATAGAACGGAGGTGTCCTTATATTTGCGTTTTCTCTATTCACAATGCTTCGGTAGTGGCTGTGAGTTACAACTTCTTGGTAATTGATAACACACTTTGTATTTATCTGTGGCAAGATAAAGATTTAAATATGGAGTTGAAGCCGATTTTAAGAAAAATAATTGTGATGCGGATGTGAACAAGATTTGCAAACAGATCAGCACACAGACATGGGTTTATTTTAATTTTTCTTCATGATTTAACGAATCGTGTGAAATACAAAGAGAATTGACGGAGTAGCTTGAGGAAATTGAGCACTGCAACGGTGGGATTAATCACAGTCCATATCTAATCACGGAGCCACAACGTTTAATGAAAAAAAAACCCATTACTCATGGACACGTGCATTAAAAGTAACATAAAATAGCCTATTTACTATCTGTCTGTGCATTGCCATATGCACCAAGTCACAGACACAGCGACATTTTCAGCACATTTAGCTCCTAATTCAGTTATAGTGCAAAGAGCCAATTTGAATTAAATTGGCACATCAGTTTCCGTCACAGTCTATCCGATAAAACTCTGCAAGAGTGCTTTATTATTTTAAAAACACGGAGTTACTTGTGGTCGCGTAGCCAGCGGTGGTTAGATCACGGCTAACAATGCCGAGCCTGGTGGTCATCCCACCGGGCCGTGCTTGTGGCGGAGTGCTCGACGCACATTCTCAAGGTTCGCTATCCTCCGCCGTCTATCTGCGGCAGGACGAAGGCCTCTCCAAGCCGTTGCTATCCTCCACAAGATCCTGCGATGCAACAATCCATCAAACTCCCGCACGCGTGCGCCGATTCTTTCCGCTGCATCGCCACGGTGGACGCCTTCCCAGGCGCGTCCCGCCTCCCCTCCTTTGACGGCCACTCTGCCATGGGCGATGGTTACGAGTTCCAGACTTTGTCCGCGTGGTTGATTCAGCCTATCACCCCCATGAGGTCAATAAACATAGTGCTACTCTGTTGAAGGTCGACAGTGCTCATTCTATGGGTGGTGGATATACTGGCCCTCACCATTGGAATGTGCAATTTCATTGTCTCAGTGTGGTCTGGGACTGTTTTGGTTTTGTTGCCTTGCCCGAGCTTGCATTCAGTATTGGAAAATCGGCAGGAATGTACGTACTCATGCAATGAGCACTTATATACTTTATTTATCTTAATTTGTTTTCGTGACTTGCGTTCCTTTTCTCTATTTTTGCACTCTTATTGTTTTTTGTATTTTTTTATTGTTGTAACTTCCGACTGGACATCTGTGCGAAAGAGCTTCACAACTCATCGGATAAAATAAAGAAATATGCAAGATTCAGATTCCGAATGTGGGATTTCCGCGACTGGTTTAAGGCTACCGAGGGAAATTAACGCGGCTCCATTGTTCACTTGAGCAGGGGAGACACTTTCAATATTTCTTGACCTGAGCGGAGTGGTGGGTTCACAATAAAACCAATTTGCAACTCGAGTCAGTGGTAATTTTACCATGTTAACCGGTATCTCCACAGGGCTTTCTTGAAGCCTAAAGCATGCTAAATGTTATAATTAGAACATGGAAAGGATAGGCCCGCTGTGCGCCAATGTTATCATCCAAATGTTAAATTTGAAAGAAACAAAACACAAATCGTTTTCTTTAAATAACTGCCTTGCAAAAACAGATGAGTGGCGAGTCTAAAATGTAATCGTTGTACTTGCACATTTTGGCTTAATAGCAAAATGAAAAGATTGTACCTTACACTCCTTTACCCGACCATCCCAATATTTTCATTATTTGATCAAATAAAGTAACAACAGCTCATTGTCTACATCTGACTACAAACGCTAACTGGTGAACACGTTATAATTTGAAACTGGCCTGATGAAATGGATTATGCACATGATAAAATGAGAAAATATTACTGCTTGGTTCAAATATTTTATTGTTACTGGCCCAACCCCACTGGCAATGTCACTCAAATTAAACTTGTATTTGGTACGTGGACATAGCCTGCGAGGAAAGGAATTTATTTTTCTGAATTCCCGTTCCTGGACAGTAACCTTGAAAAGCGATACAACTTAACATTAAACAGCCACTCTTCCTATCAAATCACATTTTTATCATGACAACTATTGGGGAAACAACCACACAAACACGTAAGCACGCACGCACAAAAAAATACAAAGATCCCTCTTTTAGCGTGAAAAGACTGCTGGTGCAAACATTGCTAAGCGAGCACCTGTTAAGTCTGGCAGGACACACAGAAAGGTGGTGTTACCAGCACCACCACCCTTAGCTTCCACACCATCGACCTTCAGAATACCGCCACGGCCAAGGATATATTCTGAATCCTCAGCTCAACCAAGTTCTGATGGTGAAACAATTGCCACCGACGGGCATTGGCAGGAATGTGAACCCAGATCTCTTGAATTTTAAAGTGGTGGTTTAGTTAACACTAATGCCACCGGAGCATAGACATACACAAATATTTTCCTTACAAGGGCAAGTTTTGTTATCAGGCACCTACTGATACCGGCAACTAAGGCCAGCATGGCACACAAATGCGTGGTGTGGGTAACACCACAGCCAGCATATAAACATACACAAATGAAAATACACAAATTTAAAAAAAGATGAATATCCACCGAATAGCCTACAAGTGCTGTCCGCGAACACCTATTATGGCTGGCACAGCACACGAGGGGATGGTGTGGCCAGTACCACGCCTAGCCGCCTCTGTCTCCACAGTGCTGATGTTTACACAACACACCGGTTACTCATTTAGGGGTTGGGTCGACCTAGTGGAGGCCCAGCACTGGTTCAGATATCACTCGCCACTGATGTTAGCTGTGGCCAGGAATCAAACCCAGCTCGCTAGATTCATTGAATGGGGCGTTAACCACTTTGCCACTGCTCCACCCGTCTTGGCTCTCACAACGATGAAATCATGCCGCTCAGAGCCTGCGATATCTTTGTAATAGTTGGCCATCATGTGCTGGTGTCATAATCTCATATCCTAGGCTTAAAAACGACCTGTAAGGAGGTGACCAGGTGGCTCAGGGGTCAGAGAGCACTGAGCCAGCACTGCTGATATCAGTGAATCAGCTCGGGATTTCAGCTGCCTGCTGACCGCTGTGCCCCCGCTCCCCACATGCATACAAAGATGCCCCATATAGCCTTTAGCAGACTGTTGGGGCAAGAGCTGCTAGCGGGCACCAATGAAGGCTGACACGGGCACACGAGGGGGTGAGTGGCCAACACAACCCTTGGCTGACTTTGTCTCCCAAATGTTGATGTTTCACGCATCACACCAGTTACTCATTTCAGGCTGAGTCGACCTAGGGGGGGGGGTCCCAGGACCGGTTCGAATATTCGCAACTGTTATTGCCCTAGAGCGGGAATTGAACTCGGGATGCCGGGTTCATAGTGCAGTGCAATAACCACGATACTACCACTCCCTCACACAAAGACAAAGATCCCCCAGTATAGGCCTTAACAGGCTGTTGGGACAAGTGCTGTTAGTGAGCACCTATGAAGGCCAGCAAACAAACACACAAACACACGGACAAATACAAACGCCTACACACACACACACGGCCACACTCGCCCACGATCAGCACGGTCACATTATGGTGCAGCTCTTGGCTTTGACGCTGCGCAGGAGTTGCGGGTGAGGGCCGATGTCCGAGCCAGAGGAGCTCTGGGGCAGCTGGGACAACCTCCGCCTCAGCGCTGCGGCCACGCTGGACGCCGGCGGCACTACCGCCGGTGCTCCTCCGCCCGCGGACGTGCCTCTCCGGTGGCCGCTGCCCCGCGCGGCCTTGCCCTTCTTGCCCTTGCCTTTTCCCGAGGCACCCGGCCCCCGGCCCACGGAGGCGAGCGTCGCCATTCGGAACAGGTCGCGGACTCCGTTCTCCGACGTCTTGGCCGAGCACTCCATGTAGCCGGCGGCTCCCATCTGCTTGGACGCGTTGAAGCCCTGCGGGACACAGGGGCGGGCGAACATGCGCAAACACAGACGGCAGGTAAGGGACAATCCAGGGCCTTGCCCCACTTCATCTCGCCTCTCTCATCTACTTCCATGTCCCCTCTCGTCGTCTTCGTTCCCAATCTTCTCTCCGTCTCTCTCTCTCTCTCTCTCTGTCCCTCCTGCTCCCTGTGCCCAATCTCGTGTTTGGTCCTTTTCCCTCCTTGCACCCCTCCACTGGAATCAACTTCACCTTACATTGAACAGCAGTGCACCATAGACTCACTGCCAGTAAACTTAACACTGCCCATAGATGCAACACTGCCCGTAGACTGAACACTGCCCATAGACTCAACACTGCCAATAGACTCAACACTGTCCCTGTATATTAGGCAGTCCCATCTTTAACCTCCTTCCATTCCCCTCGTAAAGCCTCACCTCTTCTCCATCGGCCATTCTCTTCCCCTTCCCTCCCTTCGCCCCTCCACTACTTCCCGTCCCTCCCCTGTAGCCCTTTTGTGATCCCCTCAGTACCCCCTCCTCTATCGCTGTCGCTCATTCCTCAACACTTGCAAGCACGCAACCCCGCCATCGAAAATCATTCCATTTCGTCACCGCTTTGATAAACCACGCCGAGCGCGAGGGACTGGCTCGGCACGGCACGCCACGCCGCACGGAGCCGAGCCGAGCCGGGCCGGGCATTACCTGGTCGTACGACACGGGGCCGGCGAGAGGCTCGTCCGGGTCCCGCAGAGCGTCGGCCTCCGCGCGCAGATCGGCCTTGCAGCCGATGAGCAGCACCTCGGTGCTGGGGCAGAACTCGTGTATCTCACGTTGCCACTGTGCACGGCAAGAGGACGGCAGCAATGAGCGACGCAAAACCGATAACAGCGTTAGGAGATTTGCTGACCCCTTTCCTATACATTGCGCTGCTCCATCTATCTCGGGTCGCGGGGGCAGCCACTCCACCAAGGCCGTCTTCCTCCCTGCCCTTTCTTCCACCAGCGGCATCAACCGTGGCTCCCGGATCGCCTTTCTCTCCTCGGCCAGGCGCATCACTCCACCCCCGGTCTTTCCGGCGCGATCGCGGGCGGCCTCGGGGACTTTTGCCTGCAGGACGTCCTTCGAACGTCATCGTTTCGTTGTATTTGTATATATTTATCAAGTGATTTTCTTACACCTTCCGATACTTTGCACTCCTGATCGTGTTTTTTTTATTGTCTGCTGTTGTAACCTTCTCACTCCCGCGCCCCTTACTGGACATCTGTGAACAAGAGAGTGTATAGCTCATCAGATTCCTCCGCTATGAACAAAGATTCTGATTCTGATTACTGGACGTGCCCGTCTGCTTAAACAGTCGACGTTAAGGATCCCGTGCCTTCATTCGCAAGGGTAGGCCGTTGTGTGCTGGCGTCACGTTGTGAATTTGCCAAATTTTATGTACGTACTGTATGTTAAGCTTCTTTCGCACCGCACGTAGCCAAACCGCGCTGATCGGAGGTGCGGGAGAAGGACAACAAACTAAAGACAAAAAGCAGTTATAAAGAAATTCGTTTTCAATCTAGATTTATAAGTACATACTTCCATTGGCTTCCTAATACCGGAATAAATATCGTTCCAGACGGCCACAGAAGCGCATCTGAATAATTGGAAAAAAAATATCCGCAGTTTTCCCCATTGGTAAAGACAAAAAAGTAAAACAGAATAGTTTACACGCCTTTCTGGCACAAACCTGCAACTCAACACGCCAACGTCACATGAATACGTATAATTACAACATTCCAAGAAATGAGAAAAATATATATTTACATACTCTCTACAGTAGTTTAAAATATACAAATAAGAGCAAGTTGTAGCTGTGAATAAGTTATAGTACACAACGATCGCCGCCCGCGACTGCGAACACAGGGTCCTGCGTTCATAGTCGGGTGCTGCAATTTCCTCTCACGTGTCCGTATAAACATTCATTGGCTGAAAACATCTTAATATGCAAAGAACTGCAGAGCAATTTTCGGTGCCGGCTCAATGCCCGGCAGCCTTCCATCGAGCTTGCCTGCGGTTCCTCCTGAGCGATTGTGAGATGCAATTCGCATGGACAACGACTCGTGATTCGATTTTATTATTTTGGCAAGCGCATGGGCAAAGAGGTTTTTCAGGAACGGTTCTCATATCAGAATGGGTTTCCCCTTTTTTTTCTGGCAACAAAACAGCTGTGTTACGATGTTAAAACACCAAACTGAAACCTTTTACAAGGAATCAAGTCTGCGTTAACCACAATACTTGTGGTCAGAATGCAAAAAAAACGTACTCTGATAATATATGCATTGTCTTTGAAAGTGATTAGTCCACACCAGAGACAGCTTTCTTTTGAGCCTCGTCTCAAAACGGTGTTAGACCAGAGGACGCCAAAAGGAGACTAGGCTCACAAGAAAGCTGTCTCTGGTGTGGACCAATCAGTTTCAAGGACAATGCCACATATATTATCAGAGTACGTTTTTTTGTTTGCATTCTGACCACAAGTATTGTGGTTAATGCAGACATGATTCCTTGTAAAAGGTTTCAGTTTTATGTTTTAACATCGTAACACCTGTTTTGTTGCCAGAAAAAAGGGGAAAACCTATTCTCATATTTTGGTACTGGCAAAGGAGGTCCCGTGATGGTTCTCATATCACTCGCCACGAACGTTGCCGTGGCTCGATATCAAACTCGTCAGATCGCCGAGTTCAAGCAGTCGGCTAAAACAATCTCCCGTTAATCCCAAGTGCCAACATTTTTTTTTTAAACCCACAGACACCTTATCGCAAGCTTTACAGCACTGGCGAGGAAAAGTGGAGCGGTGCCTCTTCAACAGGGCTGCCTTGACCCTGCAGTTGAGTTCAGGGAATCCGGCAGGATGCTGGGGAGGGGAGGAAGGCGAGCGAGCCACAGCACCGCGCCCTTTCCCTCCCCGTTCCCCCCTTCCCGTCCCCAACCCAGTGTCCAAACACAACCTGGGCACGAGGGCAACTTGCCCGACATCCCCTTTGGCACTCGTCGATGTGCCTCATTCAACTCAAGCGTGGGCCCACTTGGGATTCAAGTACGTGCATTTTTTTTGATGATATGGAAACACCTTTTTATCAACGTCGTTATTATCATTAGCCATGTTCAATCCACTGCTGGGTGAATGCCCCCCACCACACAACTGCCGCCACCTCTCACAACATTGCGATGTAGTAAGGGTTCGCTTCGCTCCGCCAGAAGGCTTGATTTCGTCCTCGGTGGACTTCCTCTCGGACACGTGTCATTCATTCACTGATGCGTCGTACGCGTGAAATAACGAAACAATGATAACAACAACAACGTGACCTCAAGTGGCCCCAGTGGTGGGATGTTTCCACAGGCAGGATGTGTGTATGTGGGGAGCGGTGGTGTAGCGGTTAGCGCCCCGCGCTACGAACCCGGCGACCCAGGATAGATTCCCGCTCACGGCCAACACCACGGTGACGATTACCTGAACCAGTCCTGGGCCTCCCCTAGTTCGACTCGGCCTCAAATTAGTACCTGGGTGCGGTGTGTAAACATCGCCGCTGGGGAGACAAAGGCGGTCGGGCGTGGTGGTGCCCACCCACCCACTTCGTGTGACACAGTGCCGGCCTTCATAGGTGCTGCAACTCGCTAACAGCACTTGCCCCGACAGTCTGTATGACTCTCGCGGGATCTCTGTCTTTGTTAGATGTGTAACGATCCACTCTCGTCACGATGTAATGAATTGTTGGGATTCAGGCTCGGTTTTAAGAATCTATTGGGGTTATTTTTTAGCATTAAGGTGATTGTAGTGGTGTCTTCTGACAGGAGGTCACGGAAACTCATTACATGCGACACATACATGGATCGAAAGTCATTGATTATTATGCAATTCGTTGCATGTATGATGAACAAAGATAACTGATAGTGACCGATGGATCGATGCATTTTGTGGCCCCGAGTACAACGCATATAAAATGTATGCGTATAGTGCGTGGTGTAAGTGATGCCTTGTTTTTGCTGCTGTTGCTGCCCTAATTGGTGCTCACCGACGACAGTGCTTGACCATAGCTCGTGGGGAAGTGTGTGTGTGTGTGTTTTTTGTGCTGTACGATGTGTCGTTTGGCAAACTGGAGTACCGTGGCTTTGGTCATTTCTGTAGCGTGCTTGGTGTGCGAGTGCGTACGGCGGCGCGGATGGAGGCTTTTGCTCAAAGCTTTGCCAAGCGACAAGTGGAATTGCAACTCAGCTGTCCAAAAATACCAGCGGGCGTCATTTCCAGCTAGACACAATGCCGTGAGCTCCGTACATTCATCTCGAGCAACACGGAAAATGCTGCACGTGAGTAACACATTGACATGTGCACTCATTAAACACAATAGTTGCGTGTGTGTGGATATATATGGGGAGCGATAGTGTAGCGGTTAGTGCGTTGCACTACGAACCCGGCGATTTTAGTTCGATTCCTGGTCGCGGCCATTACGAGTGACGATTATCCGAATTGGTCCTGAGCTTCTCCTCTGTGTAAACATCGCCACTTGGGAGACAAAGGCGGTCGGGTGTGATCTTGGCGCTGTGCGACCTTCATAGGTGCTCGCTAACAGCACTTGCCCCAACAGTATGTTAAGGCTACACGGGGAGTTTTTGTCTTTGTATATATGTATAATGTAATTATCAGCTCATGTGCAGGTACTGGGTGCCATTGTGGCATTGCAGAATTGTGAGAGTTGGAGATGGATTGGGGGAGGCCTTCATCCAGCGGTGGGTTGATTATGGAGGATGATGATGATTGTGGTGTACTCTTTGGTTCTATCGGTAAAGTCACGTAGGTAGGAAAAAAATATATATATATCACGACATTTCCTGCAGTCACGAAAGATTCAAATCAAGAATGATTGTGGTGGTGGAAAAAATATAATTATTGTCATGTAAGCCTCCCCACACTCTGTAGGCTTCATGGTGGACGTCTGGCAATACTTCTTCGCTACCCTTGTCAAGTGCGGGTTGTTGAAGGAGACACCCACAATTGGCTCGGACATATCTTGCCACTGCTGATAGCCATATCCAGGAATCAACCTCAGGTAGTGCGCTAACCTCTACACGACAACTCCACCCGAGTTACTCATAATATATCCAGGGTAAAATTGTCATAAACTGGAAAAATCTACAAGCTAAAATGTTTGACTTTTAGCTTTCAAAAATCATGACGCAGAGGTTTCACTCACAGGGCAAGTTCAGCCTAGAGCTCTACAATGCTTTAAGTCGCGCCCTGAACACTTACACCCATGTACAATCCCCATCGTCAGTGAACCAAGTAATTCACCACCCATGGGGGATGACACGAAGTCTGATAGAAAACAGGCAAAGCCCACAATCGGTGGCTCGTCTTGTAGACTGGCGCTAAACAATATTTAAACCATCGGGGTATAATTTTTTTCCCCTTTGCTTAAGAACTTGGGACTGATTTCTGTGTTGACAGAAAAAAACTGAAAAATCCAGACAGATGTGATTAGGCTGTTTTTCAACCAAACACTAAAAGACGTTTCCTTTCCTCCGACACATAACTTAAGCCTTTGATGTGTAGCATCAAGATTATTGCCGTTTACGCTTAACTATCCTGACCTTGCCATTGTGATACGGTTTGGCAAGGCCTACACATTGTTTAGTGTATCATGGTAAAATTAGGAGACATCGCTGTGAACAGCTCATTGCAAATTCCACAATTATCAGTTCAGCGATTGTAACTTAAATTATGCAAACTGAACAAAAATGCTGAAAGGCACACCAGGTACGGAGAGATGCGTGCTTTGGAATTCGACTCAAGAGACAGAAAGAGGAACACGTGGATCAGAGAACGTACGCAGGTTAAAGACATCATACTGACACTTAATAAAAAGTGAGTAGAGGGATGATGGTCGGTGGTGAACACTAATGATGGAGTGCCCGAGAGAACATCCACCGTGGAGATTGACCAATGAATTCAGCTCACGCGTAGGTCCTGGATGGATCGTTACTTTTGCAGGACTGTGAGAGATGGTGACGGATTGGGAGAGGCCTTCATGCAGCAGTAGATCGATCATGACTGATGATGATAATAACATCTCATAATATAAATTCTTTACTACCGACAAATAGTTTTTTTCTGGCAATACTTTTGAATAGTATTTTAGAAATTATTAAAAAAAACCTTTTAATCCTTTCAAAAAGAAATTGTATTACCGGTTTGTAATACTGTACGCAGTTAATGCCATTTTCACTTTTATCGTAAAAAAACACTCCACCAACAAATGTTTGGCTTGAGTTGAGATGCTCAAAGTATTCACACGTAAACAAGCCGCGAAGAAAACGACTCCCAGAGTCCGTGGCATTTGTCATTTCCCCAGTTGAAGGCACTTCCTTTCTGCAATGTCAGATTTTTCCCAATAAGTGCCCACTAGCCGCATCCACAGTCAACTGTCGTGAGCCAGCGTCCGACTCGAGACAAATATTTCGTGAAAATTCTTCATTGCAAAAATGTACAAAGCAGTTTGGTTCGCTTTTGAATATATCGGTATGCGGGACAATGGCTCGAAAAATCAGCAACCTACCACTTACACGAGTAAGGTTGAGCAAGTATGGCTGTACTGTATCTAGCAAAGTGCATTCATGGATGGAAATGTTTTACCCTTCTTAATCATCCCATTACCACACGGTGTTTTTAATCCAGGAGCTGAATATTAGTTCAATTCAGGGCCTGAGCAACCTCCCGGCATGTGGAGAGATGTGTCGGACACAGTGCCGTGCAACACGCTCCACAACCCCGACACACGTCGGAGAGCTTCACGGCAAATCCGGGGAAACCCATGTAGCAATTCTTGACCGCTCAAACAAGATATTGGGTGGTACCCGTTTCCACTGGCTGCTCTAAGCCGCTTCTGGACATTGTATGTTACCATGGTGGGGGGCAGACTTTCCCCAGTCGGTGAACCACTGTTGACTTGTACAAGGTGCTCATTTTAACGACCTCGTAGGGATGATTCGGATTTGATTGCGTGTTGATTGTGCAAACGCAGCAGCAAAGCCTGGCCGGCCGGAAGGGACGGGCATACAAACATTCAGCCAAGTGGAATCACCATGGTACATCCAGCTTAAAAATGAGTGGACATAGCAAATGCGGACCCTTGTCTATGACTTAACTAGCCTTGACAAGAAACCAAATTCAATACAATCTGAATTCATGAAAGCATCTGAATGTGACTGCATCTCGAGATGCTATACAGAATCAGTGGGCATGCTTAAGTTAGTTAAAGACAGAGGCAGTCAGTCATAAATAGAGCAGAAGGGTGGCTTGAACGTGGACTCAAAGAGGAGTAGGCAGTCAATGACATGAATGGCTGGGGGAATGTAGCCAAAAACCCAATGCATCTTATCGTGAGTTCAGTCCAAGAGTGCAATCTCCTTTACCGGGATTTGAACCTTCGCACGGTGCATCGAGCGCTCTAAGGACACTGCCCCTTGGCAAAATCTTAAGAGTCAGGAATGGCCTTAATTAGAGTGTTGAGGCTGTATTGCGCACAGCTCAACGTTACTGCAAAATTATTGCTTTTTATCAGTTCGAAATAATTAAAGTGAATCAATTTTATGTTTGTTCCGTTTTAGTTTATGATTGTGTTTCAGTTGCAATTTTTATTTAAGTTTTTGTTTCAACATTCTTCGGGTCACATTTGTTTCCTAATTCCTCACTTGCAAATAAAAATGAGATCTCGCCAGTTTTAGATAAAGGGGGGAAAAACTGGAAATAATCTAATGTCTGCTTGGCATAGTTCTCTGAGTAGAGTCACAGATTCACATTGCAATGATTGTGAGATAATATTCCCATCAGGGTTAACTCCGCAACATCATCATTACAATCATCATTATTGTCGCCATTATGAGCATTGTCATCATCATCATAATAAGCCATCATCATGACCATCATCATCTGTCAGAATCACCATGATTATTGTCATCATCATTACCATAATCATCCACTTCATCACGATCATCATCATTTCTGCTAAGTGTGCACCACTCTTAGAGCAGGGAAGCCACCACCAGCTGTGTTGTGGAAAGTCTGAGCCCTGCCAAGGGAACGTACTTACCTTTTTGAGCACGCTATCAAGAGTCTCGGGCCGGCTGATGTCAAAGCAAATGAGCACAGCGTCCGAGTCGGGATAGGAGAGTGGCCGGACGTTGTCGTAATACGGGGACCCTGGGCACACACGGCCACAACACACAACGTGTACGTCAAGGCTGGTAACGAACTATTAAACTATATTACTTTCTTTTAGTTTTATTTTAACAAGGTAAGGCCCACTGAGCGAAATAGCTATTTTTGGTCATAAGCGACCTGGCCACAAATGATTGCCCAATGAAGTGGCTTATGATGTGGAAATTTAAAGCAGCCAAATACTCTAAAAACCGGATTGACCTTGCGAAAAATCCACACGACCATGGAAAGAACATGGAAACTCCAAATATAGAGCAGGTATCGGGGTCGGGATCGAACGCCACCACCTCCTGCATACCAGGCGAGGTAGTTAACATCTCGCCACTGTGGTGCCAGGTGAGTAGCTGGTTTAGAGGTCAGAGCCCTGAGCTGGCACCACTGAGAACCTGGGTTTGAATCCAGGTATCTCCCTGTGATTAATCCGGGGTTCTCAAGTGTGGTGAATTGATTGTTTTAGGCCGGTCACCAATGATTGCACGCAAAAAAAAACACGTCACTTAAAAAAATGGTTCTGCACTTCAATGATGGGCAAAGGGAAAGAACGTGCCCGAGAAAGATGATTGGCATGGAAATGGATTAATCATTTTCAGTGGTGGACAAAACATAGCTAATGATGGGTCTACCAAGGGGTAGACATTTAATTGAAACGACCCATCACAGAAGCGCGACACAATCAACTTAAGCGACCATTTTTATGAGAACAGTACATTTATATTTTAGTGCAATGCATGAGTGCCGTGAGATTTAGTGGCACGCTATATGTACGGTGTACAGTGAACCAGCAATAGCTGAATTATATCTGTGAGGAGGGCTTCAATGCTGAAGGCGACCAACGAGCTTGCACACACTCACGCGCTCATGCATTCTCACAAAGGACCCGAAAACAAATGTAGGACATTTAACAAACGTACGTACGTATGTTGAACTTCTTTCGCACTGTACATAGCTAACTGTGCTAATCTGAGGTGTGGGGGAAGGACATCAAACTATACACAAAAAGCAGTTCTAGATAAATTAGTTTTCAATTTACATTTAAAAGTGCATAGCTCCAGTTGCTTTCTACATGGCCGGAAAAGCCAATCTGAAAGCGCGCGATGCGGCGACCGTCTTTGTTCGATGGCTAGTCAAAAGCTGCTGCTGCTGCTGCAAAGGTGACCGGAGTTTGCCTGATGATGGTTTATGCTCCTTGACGAGATCAGCAAGCCATTGTGGTTCATTTGTGGCAAGCACTTTGTGTGTAATGAGTGCGACCTCATAACCATTAAGCGGATCACCTTCACGCCAGTCTGCATGGCTTGCACTCAATTGCTAGTTCAGGTCCGCCTACAAATTTCGATTCGACATCATGAAGCATTTTCCTACCGTCTATTTTAAAGCAGACCCACAATACGTTCAGTGACATTCGCCACGAGACCAAGACCGTTCGAGTGGCCGTGATTTAAAGGGCCACTTTATTTCCAACACAAATTACCCGGTGGCTGTAAATGGGAATGCAATTGTCAACTCCGTGGAAATTGTCTCTGCGGCGAAGAGCGCCAGCTCCTAGGCTAAGGCTACGTCACGCGTAATGAATTGCTGCACTGCAACAAATGAGCTTTCCAAATTGTCACCGTTTACACTGTGTAGATGGTGCTCCAGTGCAATTTGGCTTCGTGCAGCGTTGAAATTCGAACATATCTCAAGATGTTGGAACAGAAACATTGGGCGCATTAATTTTACGGAGAGCCAGTCATAGGCAGAGGGGATTTATATATACAGAGTATAAATACACACAGCAAATATTTACATCCTGCAAGCAAGCAAAGGTTTCTCACCTGAAGTGTCCCACATGTTCAACTCAATCGTCTGCCGCTCAATCTCAAAAGTTGCCGTGTAGTTCTCAAACACAGTGGGTACATAATTCTGTTGAAAGAAGAAAACAAACGTAATGAATTGTTGTGCTGTGGCATTTTATTTGAGAGTTCTTCCCTCAGGTTCCTGATTATTTGCTTTGTTAAAGGACATTTTTTTTTATTTTTGTTCAAAAAATAATGTAGTCGTTCTTTTTTAACGTTTCGACCGGTTCCCTATTCCTGTAACATGTTCAGCATGCACCAATATTTGCTATTTCTATAGCGACCTATGTAATCATGATTGCAACTAAGATCTGTTTTGTATAACATGCGTACTGCTGCAAGATGCCCATGAAATTGAGCCGAGGAGCTAATTGGGCCCTTCCTGCTCAAGTAAATACATTCTGAAATGTAACAAAAAAATCTTATAATAATAGGGTTTTTTCCCCTTTTTTCTGGCAACAAAACTGAAACCTTTTTACAAGGATTCATGTCTGCATTAACCACAATACCTGCAGTCAAAAAGGTTTCAGTTTTGTTGCCAGAAAAAAGGGGAAAAACCCTATTATTACATTTTGGTGCTGCCAAATGAGGTCTAATGATGTAAAAAACTCTTATTTCAGGCACTTCTGTTTCCTCTAAAATGCAAAAAAACTAAAAATCTCAAAAGAGGAACTGGACAAATTAAAAAATGCAGAAACTATATAAGATCTTGAGACATAGTGAGGGCTTAGAACTTGACCACTACTGGGGTGGCTATGGAGGCCCATATATCACAGCACTGAGGAATGGCATTCGAATGTGGGTTTCAGCCGCTTATAAATTAAACGGTGTGCTTAAGTGGCATGAGTTTATGGTCTCACGATTCAGTCACAAATGACTGCACAAAAACTGTCATAGCGAAAAATTAGGTTTACACATAACTTGACTGGAGATGCCAGCTGCTGCTGGCATCTCCAGAAGCTTTAATTAAATTCCAATTGTGCATGGGGAAAGCTTGACAGAACAAATACTCAATATGGAGCCCAACCCAGAAATCAGCACTCGGACAATTGCATCTTGTTAAATAAAAATAGCCTAAAATATGCATCCATTTAATATTTGCAATGGCAAAATGAATATTTTCCATCTATTTCCTTCATTAATCGATTAATAGACAATCAGTTTTCATTTGTTATCTAGCAGGGCAGGCATGAGAACTATATTTCCATAGAGTCAATGACAGTGAAAATTCGTGCCATTTAGATAGCAGGCAATTTTTCAAATGAGATATTTGATCAAAGAGTCTGACTACACAATGTCCTACTCTTGTGAATGATAATGTATCATGGCTTTAAATGTACATTTTATAGAAGATGATGTAATGTATTTAATAACATCCACAGATACAAATTACCAGGTGCCTGGAGTGGTATTTGAATGATCAGCCCAATTCAAATTGTCTGAGTGGTGAGTCGGAATATCGTAATACATCAACTCAATTATTCAATTAATTATAATGCTCACTATACATACATCGAAATGCGTGGTTAAAAGTAAATGATCTACTTCTGTGTTTCAACATTACATTATTTACAATTTATGCAAACCGTCAATCTCATGCACTCTGCTAAGAGTTGGTTCATCATTTGGCAATAAAACTGACTGGGGTGGAGTGGTGGATCGCACACCACGCTATGAACTCGATGCCCTGAGTTGCATTCCTGGCCACAGCTCGCATCGGTGGTCAATGAAATCTGAACCAATCCTGGGCCTCCCAAAGTCGCTTCGGCCTTAAATAAGGACCTGGTGTGCATTTTGTAAATATCAGCACTGGGGGTAGCGCTGCTTGGCATCAACACCACCCCTCTTGTACACATGTGGTCTGAAAAGGTGCTCTCTAAAACATGGCTTTCCCCTACAGTCTGTATGGTTATATGGGGGTCTATGCTTTTAGATTATCCTTCAGCCCTTCGTCAATCCACTGCTGGATGAAAGCCGCCAGTCCATGCTATCGGTCAGAGGAGATTGTTTAACCGTACTTCACCACGCCGGGCAATGCGGGTTGGTGAATGATCTGGGTGATATCACTTGCAACCGATGCTATCCGCGGTGGCCAGGAATCGAACTCTGACTGCACCACTGCCCTCGCATCCATGGATGCTTTCTGTGTGCGTATTTACGTGTCTTGCCCCTTGTGTAAGCCAACAAAGGGCCTCTTTGTGTTGGTGAACTCGTGCAGATGCTCCCCAATTCAAATGTGCCCCCATCGGAAGGGGCATTACATTAACAACCACCCCCCCCCAGTCTCCCGCCTTCTTAAGAAAACATAACCGCGTGTGTGGACCCCACATAGCAACCGAGCCACCCATGGGAATATCCCAAACCCAAGCACGTTTAAAACAATGTTGGCATTTTCACATGCGGTCAGAATTAACGCGCGGCCAATGAGCCCGGAGGAAAAAAAAATCACCGCAGCTATGTGGCGATTAAACACAACCAGACGTTAGCATTCGAGTATTATGACTGATTCATAACATCATTGCAATGGAGTAGTTCAATTGCGTTTCCTTTGTGTCACTCGGCTGTTTCACCCTATTGTGTGCACGCACAGTGCTCACTTTCATTTGCACCGCACAAATTGAATTTTAACCCCCCCCCCCCCCCGGTCATAACCCTCTGCATTGAACAAACGTATAAATGCATTTGTAATACACAATGCGACATAGACAACTAATAATAATCACACACATGCCCCCCCCCTCACCCCTCTATGGCCTAAACAGACTTGGGGCAAGTGCTGTTTGAGAGTATTTAGGAAGCCGTAACAGGCACACAACAGGGTGAGGGTGGCCTGCACCACACCCGGCCGTCTTTGTCACCCCAGTGCTGATGTTTACCCATGACATGTATTGTACATGTGTGTATTCATACACATACACCATATTCCATTTGCATGCATACATCGACAGACCATATATACAAACGCAATTACAGTACACCACACATATGTATACACACATAACACCAAACATACATTCACAAAGAAGCACATGCGAATAATTACGTGCCCTGCCAATGCACCACTAACCTTGGCCTCCACCACACACACATGCATTAGCATAACGCACACAATGCGCCATACACAATACATCCAGATACACCAAAGACAATGATCCCCCGTTTAGCCTGAACAGACTGTTGGGGCAAGTGCTGTTAGCGAGCACCTATGAAGACCGGCACGGCACACGAGGGGGTGGGTGGCCAGCGCCACGCCCGGCCGCCTTTGTCTCCCCAGTGGCGATGTTTACACATCGCACCAGGTACTTGTAAAAGGCTGCTGAGTCATATATGAGTTCCACAATACAATCTGCATTCAAAACATGCGCCATGCACATTGCATTAATATATTACAATACACATGTACAATACATCAACATTCACACATACTATACACCACACACACATCACTTACCACATATACATTCACATCACCATATACACACACACACCATTCAACATTACACCCCAGCATTCATGAAACGTTGTGGCCGCGCATACTGTGAATTCATGCACACACGCCACACACCCCAAGGTGTCTACGCACACACATCACGTGCTATAACATAGGCATGCACAACAACACTTACATTCACAGAAATCCACACACCAAGGTTGTCATTCAAGGCCGAGTCGACCAAGGTTCCGAACGCAAAGTGCCCTAACTACTACGCCACCGCTCCCCACACACTCCACACACACAGCGCGCTAACCACTGCGCCACCGCTCCCCACACACTACACACACAGCGCGCTAACCACTGCGCCACCGCTCCCCACACACTCCACACACAGCGCGCTAACCACTGTGCCACCGCTCCCCACTCACTACACACACAGCGCGCTAACCACTGCGCCACCGCTCCCCACACACTCCACACAGCGCGCTAACCACTGAGCCACCGCTCCCCACACACTACACAAACACACAGCGCTAACCACTGCGCCACCGCTCCCCACACACTCATTACACACACACACAGCACGCTAACCACTGCGCCACCGCTCCCCACGCACTCACCACACACACACAGCGCGCTAACCACTGCGCCACCACTCCCCACACACTCCACACACACACAGCGCGCTAACCACTGCGCCACCGCTCCCCACGCACTCACCACACACACAGCACGCTAATCACTGCGCCACCGCTCCCCACACACTCGGTGTTGACTTGCCTGAGATGACGAGAAGGAGATCGTTGTACGTTACTGCAACCTCGACTGTTCTATTGCCCTGTGCTGTCTGTCGCTCGTCAGAGTCGTGCCGAGGGCAAGGAGAATTCAGCACGGATTGGGGGAATGTGGCACGGCAAAGAGAGACAGAGGCAGCTCCCGGCAGCACAGACGGGGAGCGAGAGGGACAGAGACACAGACAGGGTCTAGCTGATCATCGGGAGCGTTGATCTGAGACAGGAGGAAGCCGTTAGGACACGGGGACAAGGCGAAGAAGATGGAGAAGACAAGCAAGGGGTTGGGAATGATCGAGGAAAAGAGGAGTTTCTCGCCTCGGGGAATCGCTCCTTGGCGAACACCGAGATGAGCGCCGTCTTTCCGCAGCGGCTGTCTCCGACCAGCACCACCTTGCAGCGAGGAGCCGGGCTCCACGTTCTCACCACCAGCATCCTCCTCCTTGCTGCTGCTGCTGCTTCTCCTCCTGCTGCTGCTGTTGCTGCTTCAGCTGTGGCTGCTTCTGGCAGCGACAACGGAGACTGTTCAGTCGGCCAGCAAGCGCAGCCACGCCAGAGGTGGCACACCGCCACGTGCTGGGTATTATATTAATCGAGGTGTCCTGCTCGTGGTACTGTGGCGTGTCACCACCCCCCCCCCCCCCCCCCCCCGATTAGCACAGCACGGTTACGGTGCGAACGAAGCAGCAACGTGCGTACACACGTTCCGTGTTTGTGTGCTGTTTGTTTGCTGCAACGTTCTTACCCCGTGCCCCCTACTGGACACGTGTGGAAAAAAAAGAGCTTGATAGCTCATCGGATTCCTCCAGTATCAATAAATATTCCGATTCTGAAAAATATTCTGTCCCGTGTCGGACTGTCCTGTATCACTAACTGCCCCCCCCCCCCCCGTGTCAAATTGTCCTTTGTTTGCTGGACTGTTATTGTGGTGGACTGTCCTGTCACATGACACCTCACCTGGGTTATTGTTTTGTAATAAAACTATCCTGTTCTGCAAAAGAATGCCACGTTATGTCCATTGAGAATGCGCACAATGAGGCTGTCCTGCGTTTGAAGACTATATTAGTATTATTAGAATCCTCTTGCATCCTGGTCCTGTGTTGTCTGACCTGTCAGGCTGCCCTCTATACCATACCCGACCTGCCCGATTGGCGTAAAATGCTGCATAACCTCCATCAACTCGCATTGACCTGCGTGGTGAAGTATGGTCAAATACCCCCCCTCCCTCCCCCGCCCATCTCCCAATGACACGCACGGCATGGGGAGGCCCTCATCCAGCAGTAGATTGACAAAAAAAGCCTATAAGGTGTTCACACAAACACAATCTACATCAGATACAATTCAATTATTACGCTAACAACTCAACAAAAAACCCTGACCTGTTCCATCACTCGCCATCCCGATCGTTCATTACACAATGCGACGTTCACCTGCGATTCCTTGGCGTGCCACCGCAACACACATTTTCCCGTTGCACATTTTAAACAATTGCACGACCTCTCTCGTCAAAACTAAGACTCATTAAAACAACGCCCGTTGCATGTACCCCCTTGTTGCATCGTATAACCACGACGAGCATATCAACGCCTAACGATTTGCCCCTGCATCAACACACGTGAATCCCCTTACCCCCTATAGAGCGACACCTGGCCAGTGAACCTGCATTGCAGTTGCCGAATTGCGATGCAGGATTATCGCGCTACGCCCCAACGTCTTCGCCCTGCGATTGTCCAACACGGCACGCGCAAAGACGATCGTCAGGAACGGAACCGCTCAATCGCGCCGTTTTTTATCCGTAAAATAATAAAGGAATTCGCACCTATGGCGTTAGACGAGCACCGTCAGTCACCAAATCGGAGAAGACATTCGCGGTGCAGTAGACTTAAAACCCACGGCAGTCTGACATGCGAAACGCTATCGACACGACGGAAACACGCAGTGCTCGCGAGGCTGCTCCGATTAGAGCCCTCCCTCTCGTCCGTGCGGATCTCACGCACGCACGCACGGGCAGGGCAAGTGTTTGGGCTATTTTATTTATATTTTTATTTCTACAATATTATACGTGCCACTGACGTCATGGTCAGTTGTGAACGGAGCGGGACGAAACCAATGAGAATGAGACTCATGCTGCATCTGACGCCACACAATGTTGCCTTTCACAGAGCACGTGTTTAATGACTTTAGCCACTCGTACTCAATGGGGGTCGATAAAATTAGTTACAGCTTTGTGGGAGGGTTAGCAGTGGTTGGGTAAATTAAGAGATTGGGCAACTGCCATGGGATTGTGGAATTGCCCAACACGGACTCAGGATCTGCACATTTTAACTGCCAGACACATTGACTCGATACAATGATGTAATGTCAAGTTAAATTGGCAAGCCATGTAAGAGTTGCAAGTACTGTGCACAATATATGAAAACATTTTGCATGTTTTAAAAGTGTTATTTTAAAAGGCTTGATTCATTAAGAGATGACTGAGTACAGTGAGGGAAAAAAGTATTTGATCCCCTACTGATTTTGTACGTTTGCCCACTGACAAAGAAATGATCAGTCTATAATTTTAATGGTAGGTTTATTTGAACAGTGAGAGACAGAATAACAACAAAACAATCAAGAAAAACGCATGTAAAAAATGTTATAAATTGATTTGCATCTTAATGAGGAAAATAAGTATTTGACCCCTCTGCAAAACATGACTTAGTACTTGGTGGCAAAACCCTTGTTGGCAATCACAGAGGTCAGACGTTTCTTGTAGTTGGCCACCAGGTTTGCACACATCTCAGAAGGGATTTTGTCCCACTCCTCTTTGCAGATCTTCTCCAAGTCATTAAGGTTTCGAGGCTGACGTTTGGCAACTCGAACCTTCAGCTCCCTCCACAGATTTTCTATGGGATTAAGGTCTGGAGACTGGCTAGGCCACTCCAGGACCTTAATGTGCTTCTTCTTGAGCAACTTCTTTGTTGCCTTGGCCGTGTGTTTTGGGTCATTGTCATGCTGGAATACCCATCCACGACCCATTTTCAATGCCCTGGCTGAGGGAAGGAGGTTCTCACCTAATATTTGACGGTACATGGCCCCGTCCATCGTCCCTTTGATGCGGTGACGTTGTCCTGTCCTCTTAGCAGAAAAACACCCCCAAAGCATGATTCCACCTCCATGTTTGACGGTGGGGATAGTGTTCTTGGGGTCATAGGCAGCATTCCTCCTACTCCAAACACGGCGAGTTGAGTTGATGCCAAAGATCTCCATTTTGGTCTCATCTGACCACAACACTTTCACCCAGTTGTCCTCTAAATCATTCAGATGTTAATTGGCAAACTTCAGACGGGCATGTATATGTGCTTTCTTGAGCAGGGGGACCTTGCGGGCGCTGCAGGATTGTAGTGTGTTACCAAGTGTTTTCTTGGTGACTATGGTCCCAGCTGCCTTGAGATCATTGACAATATCCTCCCGTGTAGTTCTGGGCTGATTCCTCACCGTTCTCATGATCATTGCAACTCCACGAGGTGAGATCTTGCATGGAGCCCCAGGCCGAGGGAGATTGACAGTTCTTTTGTGTATCTTCCATTTGCGAATAATCGCACCAACTGTTGTCACCTTCTCACCAAGCTGCTTGGAAATGGTCTTGTAGCCCATTCCAGCCTTGTGTAGGTCTACAATCTTGTCCCTGACATCCTTGGAGAGCTCTTTGGTCTTGGTCATGGTGGAGAGTTTGGAATCTGATTGATTGCTTCTGTGGACAAGCTGTCTTTTATACAGGTAACAAGCTGAGATTAGGACTCCCTTTAAGTGTGCTCCTAATTTCAAGCTCGTTACCTGTATAAAATATATCTGGGAGCCAGAGGGGGGCAAACACTTATTTCCCTCATTAAAATGCAAATCAATTTATAAAAATTTTGACATGCGTTTTTCTGGATTTTTTTGTTGTTATTGTCTCTCACTGTTCAAATAAACCTACCATAAAAATTATAGACTGATCATTTGTCAGTGGGCAAACGTACAAAATCAGCAGGGGATCAAATACTTTTTTCCCTCACTGTATGTCAGTGATAGGGATGATTTCAACCCTGGTGTTAATTTCCACGACTGGTAATATCAAGTAAATGTACACCATTTTCTCCGCAGTGTATGTTAATGACCATGTAACATGTCGTTTATTTGCACAGGATTTTGAAACTAGGGACCCAAGTTCGATTTCCGACCACGGCTAACATCAGTGGCGAATGATAACCTAATGTCCTGTGCCACCACCTTTCCAACGGCACTGACCAGCGACACCTGTTCAAACAACCACTCCATCATGGCTGACAGCACGTGGGCACCTTCATACAGCAGTCACGTCATGCCATCACCAAAAATATATATTTTGGAAGTGGGTAGTAATTTTTGGCTGGTGATGCTCACCCTTTTACTACTTTTAGGTTCTCGAATTATACGTGGAAGGAAAAACACATTTCAATAACTAAATACAGTAATAGCAACAGCATTCGATTGTGTAATGTATACAGCCAGCAACTTAACAACAAATGTGAAACATTAATACACATTTTTACAATGGACAATTCGATTTTGACCAATCCGATAATTAAACATGGATTTTGTGGCCATGTTGGTGATAAGATAAACAAGATTTTGTTCAACCAGAGTTTTGGTCTCGTTAGCCTCTGGCCTTCTGGACCAGTTTTCCAATAACTAAACAGGCAAACTCTGGAATGTTTTGCCATTCTTGGGCTCGACAATTCACGGGTGAATAATAGTTTGTATATTTGTATTAAAGAGGCCCTGTAGTATGAGGTGGTTTCTTGTCTGTTTTTCTTTACGTGGTAAGAGACTTATTTCTCTTATGCTAAAGTTCAGCTGTCCAATGCGGACTTCCGTTAATTTTTCTTATCGAGTTTCCGTTCCTTTTCCAATTTTTTTTACTTGTTTTGACACAGTGACATTTCAACACGTAAAGAAAATATTTAATAGCGAGATTGGAAATAACTTGCCACACCTTAGTAAACTATAAACAATAGTTGTTAGAAGACACAAGCGACATACACGTAAGCTTGAAACAAATATTAAATGATGCAGTAAAGTCGACAGAAGCCTTTATTTCCCATCACTGAGCACAATTTAAAATAGCCTATGAAAATTCCGGTCAGAAGCACTTCTCGTCGTCTCATTCAATGAACCTCTTAACCTGCACCGTCCGTGGAGTAAAGTTACCATGACGCTTTTTGTCTGTTTTGTACCATAAAAAAAAAATCACAATTCTATTTTGACTCAAATTTATTTAAATATAAGTTGCATTTTTTTTACATCAACAGCCACTCTGAATCTAAGAATTAGGATATAGACTGGCTGTTAATGGGTCCATATTTCGTTTTCTGTATAATGCACGTTTTGGTTTTAATCAACCTGAAACATGTTTGGTCTTTCTTCCCAAATGTTACCATGGGTGTCATAATTCAAAGCATCCATTTGGAAAGCTCAGACAGCAGTGCAACCCTGTATATGCTTGAAAGAACAGCCAGCAGCATAAGATTTTCAAATACATTCTATTGAAATCCCTTTTTCGTCGACACGTGCACCGCTACAACAATTAACCGACGACATCGGATGTTTATTCATTCACAGAGCTGGAACTTAGTCAAATCAATTGAACGTTAAATTTTAATGGGATAGGATTATTTTTTTTTGGGGGGGGGGGGGTCATTGCTAACTGGGCTGACCCCGTCAACTCAATTGACTTGAAAAACCTAGCATCTGAGTGGTTGTCAGCTCTGTGCCAAGGTGACCGAGACACACAGCCACCTCTGCATTATTGCTGGAAGAACAAAATCATACATTTCTAATGATGGGAAAACGTATTCACCAGGGACTCTATTGAGCCTTTGAGTCCTTACAAAAATTGAGCACGTATTGTTCGTATTATGATGATCCATCAGCCTCGCGATTTCATGAATTATCACGATTCAGAGATGATTCGATAATCATATTTGGCCATTGAATGTAGCGCTTACAGTAGCTGCAGAGTTTAAGCAAACCAATATTTAATAAAAATGAATACAAAATAATACATTTTTACAAGTACAATTCTATGCACGTATCATCAGTACAAGAATCAATTTTAATCAATGCATTGTCACATTGCCTGGATACACAGGCCACGTAAGGTCGTAGGGATATGTAATTAAAACTCCATAGACAATCCCAAAAGAGGTGAATCAGGTAAAGAGGTGTCATTTTATATTTACATCATAAAATAAAAACACGGCCACTCTTTTTCAGACTTCCATGAAGACTAGTAGCAGGTTCAGGCTGCAGTGCGAAGTAAAAACATGCTCTCCGTTGCATTGTTGCAAGCTGCGGAGGAATATTTCTGAAGGCTGCAGAGTCCCACACGTATCTTGGCGTGTGTGGCATTGTTGGAGAAAAGCATCCACGTATACAAGTGCAGCACCTGCGCGGGGCTTCACCGAAAGATGTGCGCTGGCAGCTGCACTTGCCAACTCCTGTGTCATCAGAAAGTGGCCTGAAACGCCTTGCGCACGCGGGTGAAGAAGACATTCATGGCTTTGGTTTCCCGGAGGCGGTCGAGCAGCTCAGGCATGCAGGAGATTGGCGGCTGGCAGTCCGTGACTTCACCAACAGGGGTGTGGTCACGAAGGACAGAACACAAAACAAAACATTGTTATGTTGTACAAAGGTTATGTAGGCAGGATGCCGCAAGAGTGTGTTACTTAACAGAAGAAAAAGCACACGGAGTTCATTCAAAGAACTGTGTTCGAAACACATATTGGTCAAATATCTCACTT